AGTAAACAAACGATAAACAATTATAAAGAGATTGGGACCTTGTGGAGGCCCGTGTTTTGCAGTGTTGTTCCCCATGCTTAGCAAAGGTCTTAGTAAATTGCGTGCATCAAAATAATCTCAAACAGCATTATATGAAATGTATTGAAATGTGTTCTGCATGATAAACGTGTTGCTGTACTGCTTCAGAATGACAGTTAGGAGAAGCATCCTGAGGCTTCAAGTAGATGGTTCACAGTCTCGACCTGATCTTGTGCTGTCCCGACTTCCAAACTTTGGAGCAACGAATGGGGCTGCACTTCCTGCCGTCCTGGCGGCAATACAACCACCATTGCCAGCTTCACAGCCATCCAACTCCACTAAGCCTTTCACGTTCAGCCAGTTGGTGTTGATGACCCCACCATTTCCTGAGATGAGCAAAGTCAACGCCACTTTTCGAAGAAGGAGGTGGCCTTCTCTTGCAAGTTACAAGTTCTTTTGCACGTGTGGCTCCTGATGTTCCCCGTTTTGAGGCTATAATCATCTTCCCCGCGGGATCTGGAAGGACTTTGACAACTGCCACTCCAAAAAGCATGCTTTGCTCCTCTTCACGGGAGCAATGCTCTAGTTTACGTGAGCTTGGGCAAGGTCGCTTCCAGCTTTCAGAAGCTTTCAGCTGCCGACATCGCCTTCAAACCACTCAACGCTCGTCTCCAGCTCAGCCCCATCCGAAGCAAGAAGCCATTGATGTTGTCCCGCACGGAGGTGCAGTTCCGAGCACGGATGGTCCCTCCAAATTGCCTCGGTACGATGTGACCGGTGGAACGACCGGTCACACCCTACTGAGCCTTGATGAGCCTTCTCTTTGAATTCTAGAATCAATGGGAATCCATGTCTTCACCCCCCCCCACCTTGAACAGCACCACCCTGGTCTAGAAAAAAGAATCATCCATCTCTCAACATCCAATGATTTCAACCACTCCAAGCTCCCTCGTTCCAACCGATCTCCGCCCCTGATGCCGGGCCGCTCCACGTTGCCTATCTGCTTCCGCTTCCCTTTGACACTGTACATCGAGGCTGAGATGCCACCCCCCGATTTCAAGGCCAAGCAGTCCTGCAGACGGAGCCGCGTTTTCGCGTGTTTTCGGGGAGAAGACGTGAGATCTGGACGCACCATGTTGCCGTCCTCGAAAAGGATGTGTCCGCCATATTGCTTGAAGCGGCCCTCAGTGCGCTCAGAAACTGTTGTTCAATGAGCTTTTTCAATGTGTTGCTGAAGGAAGAAAGTTCTCGCACCAGCCATAACAAAGAAGATTCCTGTCAAACTTGTTGCATCGGCAGTGCGGCAGGACTGTTGAATCGTTGGGTTCATCCACCAGTCCGCCTCCAGCATCATAGCACCACCATGTGCTTTGGCAAACGCCCGCTGAAAGGATACGTTCCCGGCCTGGAGACATTGGCCGGTGAATGGTGAAGGACACATCTCGGCCGGCGACCACGCATGGTAAGGATCAAACCAGGCTACACCACCTGCCTATTTATACTCATGCCAACTACTTTCTGCAGTCACGCAGCGTCACCCACACCATCGGCCTGATGAGAATAGTGCCCCGCTTTCACGAAGAGTGCCCCGCCGCCGGTGGTCGCTCGGCAGTCTTCGAAGAGCACAGTGCCACCATTCAAGACGAGATGTTGACCCACGTAGAGACATCCACCCCATCCTGCAACCCGGCCATCCAACTAACCTTTTCAGAAAATCGAAGAGGACAAAAAACACTGGCTGTGAGTTCTCCTTTTCTTGTGAAACAGATGGACCATCCAACGCTGGACTACCACAGAGCCACAGCACGGAACCCGATCTAATTATGGGGAGTGATGTTCGGGTGACGGTGGGGCCAAGCGGCTCCAGAAACCGGCTGCCCACATACCCCCAAACCCGGAAGCTGCGCTGGAACCAAGCACCGGGGTCCTGCAACTCCACCTTGAAACCGAAGCCGCCCGCTGTCAAAGGTGAAATTCTGCTCCACGTACACGCCACCTCCATCCTCGGTCTCTTCACCTGGAGCTTGGCTCGTGAGCGAGTCAAGGTGGTGATGGGCCTGCCTTCAAGTGCTCATTGGTGGCCATGTTGTCACTCAAAAGGTGATGATTCCCTTCAGTTCATCTAGGGATCACTCCGGACCCCTCGGGGACCGCCTCCGCAGCTGATGAAGTCCACCTGGGACGAGCCGGCGAAGTCCAGGCTGCCTTCCACCTGCGAGGACGCGGCATGGCACGGCGCGTCGGCGGCGGCGGATGGGGACCAGGTGGAGGAGGACCGTCTTGGAGAAATCTCCGGATGTTCCATTAAGAGCCCTTGGGTCAGCGAAAATTGGGCTAGAAAGAATCATCTAGAATCAAGATACTAGACTCAACTGCACAACAGTGCCTCAGAGAGTCTATATAAGTACCTTCAAAAATCTTGATGTTTGAATACACGTCCTCAAACACAATCCCCCGCGGACCACTGGAACAATGTCTGCTTCCTGTGCCCAACCGGGAATTGGGGGTAACAATCGGCGGATTTGATGGACTTCTTTTTAGTGTCTGCGGTCTTATGGGCCCAAACATGGGACTGGTGCAACTAGCGGAGACCTTGATGAACTCCGAAACGTTCACGCAACGTTTCACGGACCTTTGGCCCTCCTAGACAGAGCAGACTTCTTCTTCTTCTTCTTCTTCTCGTTGGAGCCTTCTTCAGACGGGCCAGCCAGTGACCGTTCTCTTTTCCAGGAAATGCCCGAAACACCCGTGTGGATCGTCCACATCCTCCAAGCCACATCCACGCAGCGATGCTGACGCTCCCGATGCTTGGAACCCCGGAAGACCAAGGAGCCGCTCAGGCGGGCGTCCTCGCGCTCGTGGCACGCGGGGCACCGGGTGCCGTGAGGTGTTCCAGGGGGCAGCGGTCCGAAAGATGTCGATAAGGATCTGAAAGGGTTCCTACCAAACTTTTTTGAGGTACTCCTGATACTCCTTTCTCGTACGTCCTGCTATGATCCTCGCTATTTCACGCCACGGATGGTCTCTTGTGACACTCGACACGGGTCGGACACCGGACTCCACGGTTGGACCCGGTCCTTCAAGAAGTGCACCTCACCCAAGACGTCCACTTCCTCGGCGCGGTGAAGCGTGGGCCCAAAAAAGGGGCGACTGGAAATGAGGGTGGCTGGAGTACGAAGACATCGCTCAAGCTTAGGGCCAGTCCCTCAATTCGCAAGTGAGTTGCTCAGTTGGTTGGTCCTCAAGCTTAGGCTGTCTTTCTGCTTGAGCATCCAGGCGACAAAATCACAATTAGCACCCTGCAGTGGAAAGGCAAAAGCCTGTGTGTCTGTTGTGCAGAGCGATGGAGGATGCAGAAGAAGTCTCTTCAAAACTTCTCAGAT